GTGCCCAGTGCAGTAAAAGCAACAGGCCTTGGTGGGTAATAGTTGGATAAGCGCGGCATTCCTGACATTGACATATTACCTTCTCGAATTAAAGGCAAATCCAGGGATAGGCTTCGAGACATTCTAGCAAAGCATAGCGAAGAAGTGGGTTGAATACGTTTTCTGGTCCAGACATATATATCCGCATCTGGTCGTGATCTCTCCACAGAAATTCGGGACCCGGACTTGCTCCGAGCCAAGGTTTCTCCGAAGGCCGAAGTCGGCGTCTCGATTAGGTAAAGTCCGGTATAAACCTGACACCGTGATTTGGACGTCACGGACACACAAAAGCAATTGTCTTGCGCTCGTTGCGTTTGAGAATTCAAAGCCCCAAAAGTCTTGCCCAGATCTGAACTGTTTTGATGCAGACTAATATTTTAGAGTACCTAACCCGGACATTAACATCAACGCCCACCTGTTGTTCCCGATGGACTCATCGGTCCGTCGATCTCCCAACACCCCGAACGATGACCGCTCAGCCCTCCGCGACCTTCTCAAATCTCGTCAACGGGACCGCAAAGGCGTCCGTGGTAACCCTAAGTCATGTATACCGTGCCGCGAAAGAAAGGTCAAATGCGACAAGGAGTTGCCGTGTTCGACCTGCGACAAACGGGGACACCCGGATCTATGCAACTATGAAAGTTCTACAAGACAGTCGCTCGGTATCCCGCAGTCGCCAGCACGATCTGCGAGAAGAACTTCTGTAGTCATTCCAACTTCAAACAGATCTCAAGAACTCGAGAAAACAGACGCGATCAGCTTTGATATCGTCGAGGAACGTGTAGGAGACCTCGTCCCTGGCCCAGAAGCTCAAAACAGGCCCACTCCACAAATATCGACAACGTCGAATAATGCATCCACTGCGCGAGAAGATGGCGATCGACTATTCCTCGCCGATAGTTCGGTGATAGGCATGATCAGACGGCGCTCAATCCGGTCTAGAGATGATCCAGCTCGACAATCTGCTTTCGAAACAGGCATACTACCTCTTCTTGGCGTCAATGAAGAAGTGAACACGTCTGTATCATCCTATCAGTCTCTACCAAGCGACCAAGAGATAGTCAGATTGTTTGAACTGTTTCGCCGTCGAGTCCACCCCTTTCACGTCATAACCTTTAATTTAGATACCATCGAGCAACGAATTTGTCAACTAATCAATGCAAGGAGAGGATCAAACCTTGGCTCCGAGTCGTTTGAAGATCCTAGGTGGCTGTCTCTACTTCACGCTATCATGGCGGCTGGAGCTCAATTTTCCGATATGAATTTGCAAGACCGTCTTGCAGTGTCTCAACGGCATAGTATGTTCTAGATCAGCCCAGCATTCCATCCACCTCGATGAGATGCTGATCAGCTACAGCCAAGCAGTCATTTGATCTCCTACGGTCAACAGATTATCTCGCGAATCCATCCAAGGAGGCCGTCCAGACACTCCTTCTCTTAGGGAATGTGCTTCAAAATGATATGAAACCTCAGGCGGCTTGGGTTCTTGGGGGCACAACAATCCGCCTCGCGCAATGCCTCGGTCTTCACAAGAAGACAGCCCGCCCACCAAAATCTCCGCTCACAGATGAAGACGCAAAGTGTTTGAGGTAAATTGCATCGAGGTTCTCTGTAGGAATACATCTGCTAACCACTGGTCAGATTAGCAATTGTTTGGCAGGATGCCCTCCTCGCGCTCGCTTTTGGTCGCCCACCAGCCTCCTATGAGTTGGATTTTGAAAGCGACTTGCCTCAGCTCTCAGAGTCCAGCGAGAGTTCGGGTCTATCCTACCTCCAAGCTATGAGCTGGCTATGTCATGTCACATTGCGCCATCTCTCGTCTCATTTGCAGTCGTCACTAGGGCCAGTTTCGGTACTCGACGGCATCAAATCCATCGAAGCCTCTCTTTCGCCCCACTTACTCGATCCCACGAGAAGTACGGCAATACCACAGATTCAAGAATACTACGCTTTCGAACTTCACCGACATTTTGTCATGGCTACTCTTTGTCGCCCGTTCGTATCGAGGAGTGGATCAACAGGGCTCAGTGAAAGTGACAGGTCGAACGTCCTCGAGCACTTTCGAGAATCTCTCAAGCGCAGCGTCCGGGCTTATGTTCGGTTGAGGTCAATCGCGGGACATGCTAGGCGTTCTTGGGCCTTTACACATAATGGGCTAACGTCGGTTCTTCTCTTGAGCTTAATGCGAGAGACTAGGTATCTTGCCGAGACCAGAACCCTTCAGGACGAGCTCATTGCAAGTCTTTCAGAGGAAGGTAACTCCGCCTTGTTCACAGACCCCGATACCAACGCACAGCTTTCAGGCACTCTTCATAAGGCCTTGAAGGCTCTGCGGACTCTTCGAGCATTGACGGAGCGTGACGTCAGTTCGCGTGGCTCAAACCAGGAGCAAAGCGACCAAGACATTCCAACTCCTGGCCATATGCCCACCGTCGGCGAAAGGCCTGCAATAGGCCAAGATAATGCGTTTCGGGTCACGGAGCAAGCTGAGTGAGTCAATCCATAATTTAGATTCCGAGACGAATGCTAACAAGCCAGCTTTTGGGACATGGGCGACGCTCAGTGGGAATTTCCCATCGATTTCGACATGTCCCCACTGGGCGCGTTTGACTACATCATGTCGGATCAGAATTATGACAACAATTCATTTCTGCCCAATCTAGTGTGAAGTTGAAAACTTTGTGTTGGGATTTAGTAATCATTCAATTAACGTTCAGTCTAAACACTTTGATATTCAGTTGGAATTGAATCCAAATGACTGCCAACGCTGCAGCACCTTCTCCCGGACCTCAGTCGGATAGGACCCCTGGAAGCTCGCAGCTTCCCAGTCACGGCCAGTGGTGTACTCAGTCGGCATCAGACAATCGGAAACAACTTTTCCCCCCATGCGGATGTTACCGTTGCCGTGCGACATGTATGGAATTAACGGAAAGCCGCGGACGTCCTCGAAATGGTACTCATCCAGGCCAGGGCGGCAGCGGGTGGAAAAGGCCCAGATTACGTCCTTAAAGTCGTACACGTCGATGTCGTCGCCGACAATGACGAGGCGGTGGATTGTGTAGCCGACCTTATCATTGAAGACAACATCGCCGATGGTTCGGCAAAAATCCTTTGCGTTGGTCTTCATTGCGCGAAGCTTCTCGGTGTCGACCTGTAGGGCGACCCATGTCACCTGGGATTCGAAGGGGGAGAAAGCCTCCTTGATGGGCAAACCCTTAGACTTCAGTAGAAATCCGATCTCAGCAGCGGCAAGGGGTCCGATCATGGTGTGCTAGTTCGCGTCAGTTTGGTACTGCTATGAGAACAGGTGGCGATGATGACCTACCGTCTCATCGGTCAATCGGCCGCAATTCGATACTGGAAGAATAGCATCCTTTCGGTGTGTGATGAGGTCAACCCTGTACTTCGGCTGGGGATGCGCGTCGCCAGGGAAGACATATCTTGAAGGATCGTCAGTATCTTTGCGGATTTCTTGCAAACAATTCCAAACAGTCCACATACCCGTGCATCTCTCCAAAGGGACCCTCAGGTGCCGTCTCTGTAGCAGAGCAAACGCCCTCGAAGACAATTTCCGAGTTGGCAGGGACATAAAGCCCATTGGTATCACACTTGACAACCTCCAACGGTGCTCCAACCAGTGACCCAATGTACTCCGCCTCAGACAGGCCGCTCGGTAAAGGCATGCTCGAAGCCATGATGGCGGCCGGTGGCACGCCAAAGACCAGCGCCCACGGCATATCCTTACCCTCCTTTTTCCACATCTGATGGATCTGCCAGATATGTTGCGGCTCGATAACGAGCCCCGCAAGGTGGTTCCTGTCGTACACCATGGCGCGAGCGATGGACCAGTTCGTCCATTTCCCGTCCGGCGATTGAACGACATGCATACCGTACGTCTGGATGTACTTTCCGCCGTCAGACTGGTGCAGCATCGGTGCTGGCAATTTGGTGAGGTCAAATTGGTCTGGAGTTAATCGGAACTCCTTGCAGGACCCGGTATCAGAGACAACGGGGGGGATTGGAGTCGCACTCTTGGCGGCGATCATCTTATCGAGTATCTCCTTCATAGTCGACGTGGGAGGGAGACCGAGGTGCCTCGCCAGTCTTCCAAAACGCTGGGAGGGGTCGGACCGCAGAGAGTTTGGCGCGCCGAGGATACGCCAGAAGCCATCTGCATCTTGACCCTTGAGCTTGTTGAAGAGGGGTGCTCGTTCATCGGTCTCAACAACCTTCCGAATGATGGCGCCGACTTCGAGATTCGGGTCACATTCTTCGTTGATCTCAACGAGGTCGCCGTCTGCTTTAAGTGCTTCGACAAAAGAGCGGAAGCTGAGGTGCGGGAGATCTTGAGAGTTTGATGGTGGCATTTTGGTTCTGTTGATTGAGATTGATAAATTGAATGTGTATGCAGTCCGAAAATGGAGGAAATTTGATTTGTAGTTGGTGGTTGGATGTGATTATAATGCAGCCAATGTAGATGACCATGTAGCGTTCATATATATCACTTTCGTCAACACCGAACGCCAGCATGGAGTACGATGAGCGGTGGTAGTGATGCAATATCCCCGAACTCCCCGAGATACGTGCTCAGAGATCCCTGAGCTAGGATGGAAGTCGGTCCTCTTCCGTACCGGTGCCGGAAGTCGAGAATGTGGATACCCGAGTGGCTCCGGGTTCGGACAATTCGGTTATCGTCCCATCGATCGTTTCTGAACTCTCCGATTTCGCCGAAAAGACTTTTATCGTGATCCCATTAAATATGTAGGGTAGTATCGCTGCAAGAAGAGTGTGATCCAGAGGTACGCAATTATAACTGGCTCAAACATCATTCCAAGCACTTTCAGACCCAAAAGCAAGAATACGTCCACAACATCTTCGGCAAATCACTTTCATTTACACTTCAGAGACACCACGTCGGTAAATACTTGTGAAGAACCACCAACAAAAAAGCCATCAACGAAATGAAAGACATCACACCTCGCAAAAAGATCATTGTCGCCTTGACGGGCGCGACAGGAGCCCAGATTGGTATTCACGTTCTTCAGACCCTCCGGAGGCTCAATGTCGAAACGCACCTCATTATCAGCAAATGGGCCGCCGAGACGATAAAGTGGGAAACCGATTACACACCCGCGGCGGTGAAAGCACTTGCAGACCACGCCTATAGCTCGCACGATCTAGCCGCACCTATCGCAAGTGGCTCATATCGCGTGGATGGCATGATTGTTGTACCGTGTTCCGTCAAGACCCTCGCTGCGATCAATGCGGGTATCTGTGATGACTTGGTAACGAGAGCAGCAGATGTTTGTCTGAAAGAGCGCAAGAGGCTGGTCTTGTCTGTCAGGGAGACGCCGTTGAGTGAGATCCATTTGAGGAATATGATGGAGGTCACGAGGGCGGGGGCGATTATCGCGCCGCCTGTTGTCGGATTCTATACGCGGCCGTCGTCAATTGATGATGTTCTTGATCAGATGGTCGGAAGGTTGTTGGATCTTTTCGATTTGGATGCGAGAAACTTTGAAAGGTGGGATGGGATGCAGAAGAGTGCCACAAATAGCAAGTAATGTTGATTACAATCGACTGTACACCAGATCACTTTCGCCGAATGATAGTAACGGCAGACTGAGATATTGTTGGACCACTGTGGAGTGTGACGAGAGCAAGCCGGATGTCTACTTCTGGTGTACCTCGACATCGGTGATAAGTCCTAGTGCCTTTTGCAAGCTAATGTCTAGGTCGGGCCGCAATAGGAGTCGAGTCCTGCAAAAAGTTGATCCCATCCAAATGTGTTGGCGTCTCCAAGGAGATCGTTCCATAGGCTGTCAAGACCGAGGACGTCTTCTCCAGCCAAACTAGATTTCTCAGCACTGCCACCATCATCATAAACAGTCCTCAGTCCGGCCGTTGCAACCGCTTCGGGATCGTCAGTCGAGAGTCCTGCGTCGACAGACTCTCTGTCATCTTCTACCTCTGATGGGACAGCGTCATCCATCCCCTGGACACGATAGCGACGCAAAACGCCCGTCAGGTTCTGAACAAGCTGCGCAGCAATCACCGATTCTTTTCCGGCCAATGCCAAAGCGCGGCAAGCTTGTACAACCTCGGCATGCAGCTCTGCTGATGCATCAGATACTAACCATGACTCTTTGCCGTCTGCTAAGCCCTCACGACTTGAGACGCCTCCTGAGTGAAGTGCCAATATTGTACACGCCATGAACATATGACCGATAACACAGCCTAGACGGCAGCCGATTGCTCGCGAGCTGAAGGTTTGCACTGGCTCTCTAGTCTGTGAAACCTTTAGTAGACGTGTGGCGATTGCGAGGACAGTCCGGGCTGAGCTCAGACATATCTCTCGCGATGACTGGTATTGGGCATCTTGTTTGTCATGGAGCAAGAATGGTCGGTGTAATCGAGCGCGTCGCGAGAGGAAACCGAGGAGAACAACATCTCTCTGCAGCGATAGATAGGGCGGCGCGGTCTCTGGAATGGGCCCATCGGGACGGAGGAATGGGGGGAAGTCGGCAATAGCATCTGCAAACAGACGATCTAACTCGAGGACATGTTCGTAGTCCATTATTTCAGCATCTGGAACTCCTGGTGTTCTGGCATCGATGACAGAACGAGAAATACCAGCGAGTTGGATGCGCCGGATGAAACAGCTCATCGTCGTCGCAGTATCTGAAGGCATGCTAATGGCCTTATTCGAGAGGCTCGCCTCGTCATCATTGATGTTCCGAGGCTCATTAACATTCATTTGTCGCGGCTGAACGTTGTACGTCCCATCCGTGGGCCCTCCCATGAGACCCAGCATCCTGAGCTATGATGAGCAATAGTCGATAGAAGAGGAATGAGAGCGACGTACCAGTCTGTAGCAGTAATATGCCACCATACCCTTCTCTTGATTTCCTTTGCAGACTCTTCGTCCCGCTGTTCCGAGCCAGGGCTGTCGATTAGGTGCAGGCTCATCTCTCGAGCGGACGACAACGAACAGCCATGAAGGAATCTAAACCTAGCTGAGCAGCCTTCCATGTTGTAGACAAGATAAGCGAGGACCGAACGTGCTTGTACCTCTTCCAGACAGACCCAAGTATTGGCATGTGATTTTTCTAGTATGTTGAGAGAGGATCTGAACCAAGCTATGGCGGTGTGCGTAGCTTCTTCCAAAGACTCGAAGGTCCCGTTGGCTTTGGACCCCTCGGTGAAGAAGAAAGCACTCGTTGCTGCGATTCCTAGAATCAGTGCAGCGTGTGCTGGATTTGGTTCACCTCCGCGAGATAAGGTGCAATAGAAGTTGACGATCATGGACCTGGCTGCTGTTGGATGAAGTATGGGAAGGAGATGAAACGGATTGTCGAGGAAGTCTTGTAGTAGCAGCAACGCCTCTTCTTGGGTCATCAACCAGGTCGATAATCGTCCTTCTGAATCAATGGAGGGTGTAAGGCCGGAGGTTGTGCTTGCGGGTGTCTTGGGAAAGTGACAGACATTGGTAACGTGATAGTCCACCTTTTCAAATGGTAGAGTGACCTGGGTAACAGTCCATTAGGATTTCGAACTCTAAAGTCTGGATATTGTGTTTCTCACGTTTAGACTATTTCGCGTGAATGTTGAATCGAGAAACTTCGCGGTTTGCTGCCGTTCGTTATCCATGAACCTCCGGAGATGAGGATGCCGTGTTAATAAACCCAGACTTCGGCGTCGGGAAGATTTTGACCGCTCTATCCTTACAGGTCCGACAGTGTCCGCAAGCTGCTGCATGGAAAATTCTGTGCCGGCAGAAGACACTGGCCCGAACACAGCGTGCTCTAGATTACGGAGCCGACTCAGGATAGAGTCGTCGGCATTCTCGCTCAACTTTGGCGCATGGCTATCCGTAGTTAGCTAAGGTAGACTGGTCGTCGATATGTATGCACCATTTCCGTGGTTACCTCAATTCCGCAATCGGATTTTGTGTCCCCGGCTGCCCTGCGCATGACAAGCCGCGCATCACACAGCTCGAACACGGGTCTCCGCGGTCGCACTTGAGCTTCTTCTTGCGGCAGGAGTCACACGAAACTTGGGGTTGACGACGTCGTTTCTGGGCTGCGCTATCACTATCAGATCGCATTGTGCGCTTCATGATGAAATAAATGATTCGTAATTGCTTTCTTGTGCTTCGCCACTGGACTTTGTTGATGTTGATGAGGCAAAGTCCAAGTTCGCTCCTGGCCGCGGACCTTCCTCGGACGCCAACGGGTTAATTACTCCACGGATAATCCGCGGTGCTTACCAACTCCATCTACGCCACCTCATCCAGAGCAACAATACGACAGCAAAGCGATAATATTCATTAAATGCCCATGGGAAACTGCTGGAATTGATCCTAGCTATTCTAAGTGCCTAAATCAACCTTGTTTTTCTTTTGGCTTCTGTTTTTTTTTTTGCCGTTGCTTACGCCAGCTAGTGTCCTGAACTTGATACTCTAGCCACAAGACTCAACTTACATCGCCATGGAGGCATCTCAACCTCCTCCCGGTCACGATAGGTGAGCTTATGATTTTCGGAATTTGAGTATAATCACAAAATCTCATTCGGAACTATCAGTTTTAGATCGTGGCTCGCTGTCGCAGGTGCTTCGCTTTCGCTTTTTTGCACAGCTGGCTTCCTTAATGCATTCGGCATTTTCCAAAAGTATTACCAGACGTTTCTCGGAGAATCTGAGTCCAATATTTCCTGGATTGGATCCATATCTATTTCTATCGTCTACCTATGTGCACCAATATCAGGCGTTTTAACCGACAGATTGGGACCTACGGTATGTGAAAATTGATTGCAGCCCTGCCGACCTCCACGTACTAAGGTGCACGCTTTACAGATTCTCCTGTGTATTGGCAGTATCGGTCAACTGTTTGCTCTCTTCATGACCTCTCTCTGTAAACAGTACTACCAAGTATTCCTAGCCCAGGGGATTTTGCTTGGGGTGAGTATGTCGCTCATTTTCTGCCCCCCTGTGGCTGTGGTGTCACGCCGCATGCCTCATCGCCGTGGCCTTGCTCTAGGTCTCACAATTGGCGGGTCCTCCATCGGTGGCATCATCTGGCCGATCATGCTAGAGCAACTTCTCAACAAACGCCAGCTTGGTTTCGGATGGACTATGCGAGTTGTTGCTTTCACTATGGCTCCTCTTTTAGCATTCGCCTGCATCACTGTGGTTGATGCCCCCGCACCCCAAGCATCTTTGAGTCCAATCCATGCGGCATCAGATGGGGACGAGAAGGGAACGACCTCATCGGATGACGAGATACAGTCCAAATCGAAGGCCAACTACTCTATCCTGAAGAACAAGACCTTTATCCTTCTCTGTGGAGGGTTAGCACTCGGCTACTTTGGACTGTTTACCCCCGTCTTCTTTGTTACGGGCTTCGGCGTTCAACATGGCTTGTCCACATCGACGGCATTTTACTTGTTATCTGGGCTCAACGGTGCTTCATTCCTGGGACGAGTTATTCCTGGGTTTCTCGCAGACCGGTATGGGCATTTCAATCTTTGCATGCTGGCAACTCTTGCGGCTGGTATCGTTGGCTTTTGCTGGACGGCGGCAACGTCTCTTCCTGGGTTGGCAGTGTGGAGTTTGGCGTACGGATTCTCCTCTGGAGTGAGTAGATTCACATCTTGAACTTCCATGACAATGGCTGACGTATTTGCAGGCCATCATGAGCTTGCAGGGTGCATGCGTCGGAAAAATTGCCCATCATCGTCATCAGGGGTTGGCTGTCGGCTTCATGATGGGCTCCATCGCTGTAACGTGAGTCGTCACACTTCTGCTATTCCATGCCTAGGGCGGTTTGTGGACACTGACCATGTTAATGGACAGCGCTCTTGTCGGGCCTCCCATCAGCGGCCAGATTCTTGCGCATGCCGGATATCTTGCGTTGTCGATGTGGACCGGCGCAACTCTCGTGGTTGGAGCTGCCATCCTTGCTGCAGCTAGATGGCGGTTAAACAGCAGTGTGACTGCAACCGTCTAGATCTATATGGTATTCAGTCATTTGCAGTATGGTCCTGGCTTCACTTGTGATGTATGTTCGGAGTCAAGAGTACTTCGTTAAGCGGCACATCGTTCGGAGGTATCGTTCATACCTTTGGAGACTACTGAGAGTACTTACCTAAGCAAGACAGCTCGGACCAGTGGGGGCCCTGCTCCCTTCGGGCCGAAGCTGTTCCTGGTACACCGGGTGCCCGGTCGGGGTTTTGATGTTCCGCAAGGTGCTCGCCGATGATGGGATCTCTAGTATGGCTCGTGTGTGGCTGGTAAATGTGGCTTCTCTGGAGCGCAGGTTTGGGGAGAAAAAGCTTTCCGACCCTTCGAAATGAACACAAGCTGGCCTCACACGATCTTCCTAGACAATCGCTTGTTCACATTTTTGCTTCACTTTCTTGTCACTCGTTTCATCAAAATGCCTCAATCTATTCTTTTTGTCTTTTTGTATTGATCTTTCCATTGCCAGGCTTTGCGCGAGCCTCACTCTTTGAACAGATTTCTCGGACCTTGCTGTTCGGAATAGGATTGGCCAACCGAAGGCACCCTGATCTCCCTTCACTTGTGAACCGATTCCTTGGTCTGCATCTTTTCACAGGCCGGGGCGGCTCGGAATGAGCCCATCGCCTGAATGGCCCACCAGTTCCACATCGCCGGCGCGAGCCACGCTCTCCTCGACCCGTGGTCTCAAGGAGCGGGCGTGGTGAGGGACGTTCTCACTCGGTGGTCCGAGCTCGATATAACACAAATTGGCTCTCTTGTTGCCATAGCCGGCACCCTTCCTACGGCTTGGAGACTCATGCAATGTGCCTGGCAGGAAGCGTATAGTTGTATTCGGCGCTTTTTCCTCGCTTCCGTCACAATACCGGGCGGCGACCCGGTTAACCGGAGCGTCGTGAAATGGGTCCTCGCCAACCGGCCCCGGCATTATCGCGCCTTTACCGGTCGTACCGAAGTTGGACGCGCCAACCCAGACCGTGCTGCCGCTCTGAAGAAGTCGTGCCATACCGTTCAGTATTGTCCACACTGGAACACACGGTGGCTCTGGTTCAAAGGCAACTTTTTTGTCGTCACCCGTGCCGTTGGAGATTTCAATTCTTCACTATCGGATCCCAGCTACGATGGAATCGGAGGCGAGGACCTGACAATCAGCTGCTTCGGATGGTCGGCGCATCCTGTCCAGAATCTCATCGAAGCCTGCCGCGAGTACGCCGACAGGCAGACGCAGTACTTCGTCATCATCTACTCCCGCGACCGTTACGGCATGTCTTGGAAACCTAAAGCCCGCAAGCCCCTCCGCCATCTGGACACCGTGCACTTTGACCTCAGCTTGAAGCAGGAGTTGCTTGCTGATATCCGGAATTACCTGGATCCGAAGACTCAGATGCGCTACCAAAGCCGGAGTATGCCGTACCGGAGAGGCTACCTCTTCTACGGCCCGCCTGGAACTGGCAAGTCCTCGCTTTCTGTGGCGATTGCCGGCGAGTTTGGATTAGATCTCTACGAGGTCAAGATCCCCAGTGTGGCAACGGATGCCGATTTAGAGCAGATGTTTCAGGAGATTCCGCCGCGATGTGTGGTTCTTCTCGAAGACATCGATGCCGTGTGGGTGGAGCGTTCAAGCAGCCATGAGAAGACCAGCAACGGGAATGGACGAGCACATTCACCGGAGAGCAGCAATGTGCCCAACTGCACTCTTTCCGGACTGCTGAATGTTTTGGATGGCGTTGGATCGCAGGAGGGCCGTATCGTCATCATGACTACGAATCGACCCGAGCAACTCGACAGTGCCTTGATTCGGCCCGGCCGAGTCGACATGAAGGTCCTTCTGGGCAACATTAGCCCAAAGTCAGCGGCGGAAATGTTCGTGCGGATGTTCTCTCCCGAACTAGGGTGCACAACACACCTGAAAATGGAAGAAATTGAGAAGCTTTCTGTCCAGTTTTCCAGCGTGATACCGGAAGACACCTTGACCCCATCTCAATTGCAGGGGTTTTTCCAGGTACATCTAGAGAGTCCGTATCATGCGGTAGAAAGCATCGCAAGTTGGGTTCAAAAAGAACTTGCAAGAGCCCACTTCAAAGAGTTCGAGTTTATAACTTCCAATGGGAAGGCTTAGAAGTTGAGTGTGTAATAGCTATTTGCCTTACTGTACTATTATATGTATGGCTGGTTCTAGACCCTGGATGGAGTTTCGTTATTTCTTTTTCCCCCTGTTCATTCGTTTGCCGCTATTGTTTGTGTTGGGAGAGAAGGGCTTACGTTAGATGATGCCAGCAGTAAATGCATTCCTCATGTGTGTTCTTTCAAAGCTATGGTCGATGTAGCTATCGGCGCGCGCATCGCATTTTCTACAGAATATTATTGAACACCCTTGTAACGAATGATGACCAGGCCTCTCTTTCGTTTGGTCTATCTACTCTGTTGATTCGGTGCCTAAACCAGTACTCATACATACTTACCCTGCCATCTTTGACCCAGAGGGCTTGCACACCCAGCCTCTCAACTTCAATGGAGTGGAAGTAGTCTGACATCCCCAGCAGTGCCTCCTAGCATCAATACTAATCAAGACCCATCTCCGGACTGCCGTGACCCATCTCGTCTGTCTACTAGTTAGCCTTCCAATTTCAAACGCGGGTTCCTCCGTGACCAATGTGGGGAGAGAAAGCTCACGAGCTCAAAAGCCTAAATATTTGAGACGACAAAGGAACCTAGACAGTTTCCGAGAACGAAATCGTCGTGCATGAAAGGCAAGAGTAGCCGGAATTTTCATACAGTCGCTTCCACACTCCGTCGACATGGGGACAGGGTCGTGGGCCATGAGCATGGCCCTGCCTTGGCGCCGATGGGTTCTGGGGTGGTGGCCATGAATGGAGTTTGCAGTATTTGGTCTTCATATCCCGGTGATATATGTCACGAGGCAGGCACCGTATTGTATGTAGAGTTCACGGAGGGCTCTTGGAGCCGATGCGAGAGTGCGTCATCTCATCGGACGAAACCACCCCAAATATACAATTCTGTCGACTGAGGGACTCTCCCTCAAACGGACATCTGACGAGGGCTAGTGAAAAGCAAAACAGCCTCGAATACCCTCATCAACTTTCCGCAAATCCAACTAACGGTGCTGCAAGTCGGCGCCTGGGAGTAGTAGTTTTTGTGAAGAATAGCGGCGTCGCGACACTTCCTTAGTCTTAAATAAGAAGGTTGCATGACTAACGCAGGTTTCTGAAGCCGTTTCGCGAATACACGAGTTCCGGAGAAAGTTGGAGAATATATCTCCTTTCTGCTCACTGTCATGCTCCCAAAGCCGCCGTTTCTGCAAGCCTTGGTATACTTTTGATGCACTCTTTGGGCGGATTCGGATGGCCAACCTTCCTGCCCATCACCAACTAGCTAGGCTCGAAGCGTGCCTTGTGACAAGGCGCACTTGAAGTCTAACTTTGATCCATAATCAGTCTGAAAATGATTGCCGTTTGTGGTCCTAGCTTTAGGCAATCTTGGAGGAAGAATAAAGAGGGCTGATTTCCACTCACGGCTTTGCTGGTGGGTAGGCGATTAATCCTCTATGACACACATCCTATCGTGTATTGGCCTTGCAAAGCTTACATTTCAACTGTGGTAATCATGGTCGCTGGGCGAATCTTCCTCATCCTACTGCCTGTGGCTGCGACTATGCCCTCATCCGACTTCGCACCCAATTCCCTTGTCCGACGACACTGCGTGGAGCCTAAAAACTGCGGAGCCACTATTCAAGGAACGATGTGCAACTTTTGTTGCGCAAAGGATGTGAAACCCGATAGCACGCACTGCAAATCTGCGAATGCGGCGTGCCAGGCTGGTGGAAAACCTGATGGTGTCACGTTCAACTGTGATGCCGATTAGTTCAGGGAGACGACAAAATCGGAGGTAGGTCAGTCAACCTTCCAAAACTCTGTATGACCTCTATTAATCATCGCTAATGAGAACGAGAAGAATCTTACACCAGTCACCGACATCGAACGTTGAATCACGGCCTGTGGGAAATTGACAAAGTCTTAGCAGCGTTCTTGGAGGCTCCGAGAGAATGGTTTCGCGAGGCCGATTGTTTGTGTTTGGCGTGATCCAAAACATCATTAGGAAATTATTGGATTACATTTAAATCATTGGAAGAGAGATGCTTCACGCTCTCAAACTGTGGGCTTCTCAGTGACTCTCTGATGCTGTTATTCCCACGTGATCTGCAGCTACCTTGAGTCTCTAAATAGCATTCTTACCACTGTAACTAACCACGTGTTGATCAATTTCGTAAGTTCTCCCTTGCTTGCATTTAGTACCTAAGTCACGAGGTACTTGACGATCATATCTCTTATTTCTGACCCGGAAGTCATTCTTAGGACAAAACTCATGGTCCGATTCAATGCCCGCAGACTGTTGTCAAGCGGGACAAACATCCGGCCAGTTGAAGCCTTGACCCGAGGCCAGCCATGTGTAGGAAACTTGACCCCGACTTGCTTGGCCCAATGAACCCAGTAGGCTGCATCCTGTCTACGTTTTATGGCTCTACGTAAAGATTAAGGATCGCTCTATCCAAACTTGACTACTTGTCCGGCGGTTTCGGTCTTGATAACCATAGGTAAGCAACTTAGTTCACCGTGCAGCCGGTATCAACATGTCTTGAGCGGGTGGCGGGCTTGCATTCATTCATATATTCTTCAGGTGATTGACTAGCCATGGTTTCTACCATTGAGGCCATTTGGCTGAATAACACAACTCTATGTGACATCATGGTCCCCTGGCGGTCTAATATTGACTAGGCCCTTGACGACCGACCATTCTATACTACAAGTCTGCGGCACGAAGCTTCGACGAGCAAGCTACGCTTAAAACGTCTCTTGTAGCTCTGGTCCTACTTTCCGTTGTTCCCAGTGGCTCCAAGGCATTGTCTTCGGGGCTTTGAGCAAGATCCGAACACAATTTCTCCAATTATGAAGAACGACTTATTTATTAACATCTACCTATCTTCCTTTGGCCAGACTTTTGGTAAATTGATGAGTAGCATGGGTGTTTACAACTGTTTTGTGACTAGCACGTGGCTCCGCGATGAAGTACTGCGAGATTTCAAAAGAAGCAGGGGATCCATCCCCTGAGTAAGACGTCTTACTCAACAAGAATCACGAAAAGTCGACTTTGCTGAGGGGTCACAGAAATGCCATGCATTGGCTAAGATTAAAGGGGAAGGTGAGGCTGTTTCTTACGTCATGCACGGCGACGCGTTATTAGAGAACTTTTGGACACTTGCCTCTCCTAGAGAGAGATAGTTGCAGGCTTGGAGAATTTATCGACTACGTGGCTCAGTCCGGAGGCTGCCTAATTCGCACGCAATCAACCTACTGCTATTGTGAAGCTTGGCACTGATGGTGTGTCGTGAGGTTTGATTTTGGTAATCGAAAACAACGTACTTATAAGCTCGTCGATAGTAGCTAGGGTGTCAAAAAATTGTCTTTTTGTGATATTCCTATACTACGAGCTTTGTTGACGTATCTTTGAGATGAGACCTGCCGCCATTATTTCCGTAATTTCTACGCTCGCAGCTGGCTTCAACTTTCAAAGGAGGAGTCCAATTAATTATGAGGGCTACCAGGTTCTCCGAGTGAAAACCCTCAACCAATTGGCAACCGTGCAAGCCAAACTTGCTACGATTCCTCATCACAAATGGAACCACGATGTGGATACTCATATTGACATCGTCATTTCGCCAGACCAAGTCAATATTGTTGAGTCACTTGGGCTAGACTACCGCATCATGCACAGTGACCTCGGCGAGTCAATCGCCGCCGAATCCCAAGTTCGCACCGCATATAAGCGCGACATCGACGATCTTTCGTGGTTCGACTCGTACCACTCGTATAAGGACCATGTCCAATACTTCACCGACCTCCACGAAGCCTTTCCAGGAAACTCTGAGCTGGTGTATTCGGGGCGGTCGTTCGAGAATCGGACAATTCACGGAATCCATCTCTTCGGCGATGAGGGTCCGGGAAAGCCCGCTATACTCTACCAGTAAGAACGATGGCTTAGCCGCCAGCTACAAATATTACTGCGTAGGTTTTCAAATTCTGACGAAGATACTAGCGGTACTGTTCACGCAAGAGAGTGGATTGCAGCTCCTGTGAGTTAGTGGATGACATTGATAAACGGTTGGGCATAATTGAGTTGATCGTTTCTTTGCGCAGGTCATTGAGTATATTACTCTACAGCTGATCAACGCCCACAAGAACGCCACCAATACTTCGGATTCCATCTTGAATCAATACGACTTTCACATCTTCCCTATCGTCAATCCAGATGGTAAGTCAGACCTTGCAATCCTTTCAACAAAGAGCCTACGAACTCAAACCGGAACCAGGCTTCACATTCTCCCAGGAGGTCGACCGTCTCTGGCGCAAGACACGCACGCCCCCACCTCTGAATTCAACTTGCTACGGAACCGACATCAATAGAAATTGGGAGTACGGATGGGATGCAAATCCGTTTGGCGCTTCTACCAACCCGTGTGCCCAATCCTACCGCGGCCAGAAGCCTTCCGACACCATCGAAAACCAAGGCCTAGATGCTTACGTTCGCAAGCTGCGCGATACCAGCGGTATCAAACTGTACATTGACTGGCACAGTTACGGCCAGTATATTCTTTCACCCTTCGGTTCCAAGGAGACGTGGTATGCTCCCGAGCTCGGCAAGTGGACCAAGACTGCTTCGGTGCTCAGCGAGGTCATCCGTGACAGCTCCGAGAGACGTACTACTTTCACATTTGGGCCCAGCGGTGCTACCCTCTATACCACCACAGGGGCAGCACCTGACCATGTTTATGCGATTGGCGGCGCGGACTTTTCCTACACCATTGAGCTTCCTGATACAGGCGATTTCGGCTTTGTCTTACCTCCCGATCGCATTCTTGGCGCCGCGGAGGAGCAGTGGGAAGGACAGCAGGTACTGTATACTTTGTTGGACGAGGTGTTTTTTGATGGAATAGGAGCTGTCTAACTACTCACCTGCGCCATGTGAATTGAACCTGTAAATAATATTCTGCACTTCCGTAGCCATCGCGATGAGGTAATAGCCGACATCTCCCTACTTCTGCCTATCGAAACAGATGCCGGCAGTAAACACATGGCAGGCTGAAGCTGGTACTTTAAATGAAGAGCTTAGCAAAAGTTGATTACGTCTCCAGAGCTCGGCTATCTTAGCCGGTTCTAAGGGCACGATTGCTTTGATTGCTGAATCTCCTTTCATCTTTCAGAAAAAGGAAATGAAACCACATTATCCCCATAATCCCCACAGGTGGTTTCCAATTCGTGCAATTTCATTCACATCATCCGCTCTATTGTTTTAAGACTCTCAGTTCTGGGGATTTACGTGCTTATAGAGAACGGGCACACATATGCAAGCGAAGGAGCGCGATTTGAAAATTTGTTCAGGCAAGATGTCTTTCGGTCCTAGCGCTCTCTTGACAAATCCATACCTCTGAGATGTTCTCGTGAAAGCGAGATGAGTATTGGCAGCTGGCACTTAGATGTGTGGTGGGGTGACGCCGGAAGCACAAACCAGATTCCTCATTGCTCCTCCAATTACCCATGCCGCCGGGAGACACTCACAGGATATTCCCCCAATCAACGTGCAGGCCGCGTAAAACTCATGGTTTGTCCTCCTCTTAGCTATTCCTACATAACACAATTTTTTGCCCACTAGACAGTTCTCAAGTCTGCTATAGCTTTGTCCGCCGGGTTTACGATACGTCTTTGGTCAAAATCCTCACAACTACAATTATCGACCCATCGAATGCCAGTAACGAAACACTAGGATTATTAGACATGGCTACATCGAGAATCTCTCATGCCGCATGCTTCATAGGTCTGCTTTTCGCTTCTACATGGCTGACCAGAACGCACGCGAAACCTCCACCATCCGATACTCTGTGGCAAGTATCACCGCCATTGGACTATAACGATAAGCTCTTTGCGGGATGGAAGCAGATATCGGTTGAAGCAGAGATTCAAATATACAACGGAGTGGCCGAGAATCGTACATACGCGCACCATCCGGAACTGTTTGCTATCGGTTCCGATGTCCTCCTCATTTACTCCTCTGCCCCAGTCGACGAGGATAGTATGGGCCAAGATATATGGATCTCGACTTCAAGCGACAATGGATCATCTTGGAGCTCTGGGAGAAGCCTAATGCCGGCTGCTCTTCTTCCAAACCAGACAGAGACGCACAACTGGAAGTATTGGTGTGACCGAGGTATTGCTCAGCGTGCATGGCAGGCGTTGACCTTTGTGCACCTCGAGGGCGAACTTTACGCCGTTGGCCAATCAGGCAGTAGGTGGTGTCCAGGGCGGTGGGCAGCTGCAGGTCGAATCGCACGCAAAATTTCTCTCAGCGGAGAACCGCTTGCGGACCCCTGTTGGCTGGAACAGAATGACTTCACAAAATCCGAATTGTACGCAGAGACCGTCTACGGCACTGAGTATGGCATGGAATACTGTGCCAGAGCCTGCGAAATCAACGCGGTTTTGCGAAAGCCGGATGAGGCACCGGCTTGGTCGCCATGGCTTTACAATAACGGTCTATATGCCGCTGATGGATTGCATCAAATGGAAGAACAGACATTTGCTGTTTGGCACAACGACAGTGACTCATCTACAGGAGGGTACTGGCAACGACATTGGCGCGACATCACTTCAGAGGCAAATAACACCCACTCAGTCTGGGTTGAGTACAACGCAGATCCGAAAGGGAACGGCTGGTATCCCAAAATCATGAACTCGCACGGCAATGCAATACATCAAACAAACATACCGGATGCGAAGACAAAACAATTTCTGGGGAAGCTCGACGGTACCGGC